AAAAGTTCAAACAACGTGTAATTAGAGATATGATTTGACAGAGTATAAATGATTTTTACTATTTCTCAACCACGTTTGACAGGACACAGTATACCAGATGGGGACTGGGGTACTCAAAGCAATCTTCGCGGTGCCTGTCTGGTCCAGTACTTCGCATTGTGAAATGTTTTTTAAAGCGGGGCAGTCGTCATCTGCGCATGCGTCAGATGGCCATATCGCGTCATTGTTTACAAATAAGCGTCTACCCATGAGCATTCGCGTTTTTAGCGTGTGTTGTTATCGTCGCTTGGGACTCAATTCCCGCGCGTGCGCAGGTGACGTACTGTGAATGCACTAACTAACTAACCATTGGGTTTTATTTTTGCTTACGAGTAAAATCCGCTAAATGGAATCCACGTTAACAAGTAAAACAATATAACTCATTTAATAATACGTAAGACTACTATTCGACAGACTAGCAACGCCAATTGTTGTAGGTGTGAATTAGGGATTACGCCCGTAGGACGCGTGCCTCGGCAGACTTTGCTGGTACATGTAGTTTAATGACACAAGTTGACCCGAAGATTCCCGAACGCACTCGCATTTACCTGCTTCGTGTGTTTTCGTAATGTCGTTTTAGTATCAAGCGTACAATTGCATACTTTTTGACCAAACCGGAAATGCAATCTGTGTGTTTTTTTACTCTTCGATCGTTCTTGTTTCCGTTTAAAGCGACCAGTTTTTGGGCGAGTTACAGCATTTTTAACATCTCCTACTTTCGTCTACAACATTGATGAATGTATAATGAGCAACTTTATGGTAGTATTTCTCATTAATTTGAATTTTCCCAGAATATGTGAAAATTTTTCTATAAAAGTCAAATGGTGGTGTTGGCGTTAACAGTGTTCCTTTGTTTGGACGCTTCGTAGTTTGAAAACTTATGCTCCCGCAACTAAGCGATTGAAATCATTGAATGTTCAGTAGGAAGCTGATATTTTAATGAAGCATACATTTTAGCTATCTCTATTCTTGTTTATAATTACAGAAATTACAGAAATATAGAGAATAAACACAGAAATAAATTGTATATGCTTTGTCGTATTTATGGAAATTATTTAACCAAGGAAAAAAGGAAAAAAAGATAATGAACTACGAGCCAACTAATAGGAGTACTACCCCCTGTGTACATCTCACATTATCTCGCGTTATTTGATGAAATAATAAAGGACATCGCGTTAGTACGTTATAGTCGCGTTAGCTCGATGGCTTGTTTATTGGATTAAAAAGTTAAGTCCCAAAACAAACGTGGCACGGATCTGACCAAGGAAAAGGCCGCGTTGCCAGTCTATCTATAGTAGTCTGAAATTATACAAAATAATACATGTTACTAGCAGTCGTTGACATCGAATCAAATTGTGTGTATTTTAATAAAATTTGATTTAGTCAACTGTATATAAATAAGCTATGACAAAAGGAAACACAGAGCTCTTTTGAGATACTAGTAGACTAAGTAATATTATTACCTCAGACCACTAATAGGATGAGGCTTATAGTAGGTGTTACACAGCCAATCAACGAGCAACGCAACGTGTGCGCAACGTTGTTTGCAGACAATCCAGTGTTATTCAATCAGCCAGTTTCAGTTCGAATATACTGTAGAATACTTTATTTTCGCTTGGAATTTATTTTTGCTATTTTCGCTGAAAAGATGATTCTGTGAAAATAAAATCTAGCGAATATACTTTTTTTCCTATATTTCACATTAAACTCATCAAAAATCAGTGAAAATAAATTCCATACGAAACGCCCAAAAAGCCTTTTCAGCGAAAATTAATTCCAGCGAAAATAAAGTATTCCACAGTATAGTTCAGTGAAATTTATAAATATTTTTAAAGATGATGGAAATACTTTTGTTGCACTAAGATTAGTGCGCGTTCACGCCGTTTTTTTCTTCAAAATTTGTGTGCACGCACACTTTAGTCGTTTTCAATATCCCGTCAAACGAATACTTCAATTTGTGTTGCCAAAACGGACGTTTCGATTTCACGATATACTAGTCTGATTTCATAAAATTGTCAAACAAATCTATTCAATCGTACTCACATTCGTTCACACTGTTTCATACTGTATTACAGAATATTCTATGTTGCATCCCGTAGCATCAAGGTCTAGTACTATCAATACTGTGTTGTTGTTTAATGAGAATGATTTTGTTATTCTGAATAGTTTTACGATATGGCCTTTGCTCTATACAAATGCTTGGGTGATTCCCATTATTGGTCTCATTAATATCGTCCCCGAATTCAGGTTGCGTAAATTCTGAAAATCATAAATTTAAACGATCGAACATTCACTTTCTAATACTTTCCACCCACACATATGCATGCCTGGAAACCCATTTACTTGAAATAATAAATATGGGCGGTTAGAAAAATTCACCAAATATGGTAATCACACGGTCTCGCGATAGTCACCTGATTTATACGTCACCGTGATGGGTTAATACAGAACACGGACTCTTTAAGTATATAGATTCGCTATATAGACTTTGCAAGACATACAATAAAGTTTTACGTCGTCGCCTCACATTGTCGGTTACACTGCTGTGGTTTACATTTGATATATACATCTCAAAACAAATATGAAGAGGAGGTTAAAGAGAAGGTAATGTGATGTGGCGGAAGAGATCATGTCATTAAAGATAACAGCATCTGCCCCGGGCGAATGTCGCCCTGCTTGCATGGGAAGTGTCTCTGATGATGCGTTGGGCGTTGTGTCAAGTGATATAGTATAACACGGTTTTATGTGGCGGGAACCCAAAGATTGATTAGCCAACCAGCCCAATAACCAGCCCAAGAGGCGAGTATACCCCGACTTTGAACTAGTAGTCAAAATCGAGCGGCATACTCGCTTCTGGGGTGGCTATTCCTATTATGATAGGCCACTGTTCCAGGAAGTACTAGTAATCGTGGTTACGGCATGCCTTTCCAATACGAATTAATCGACTTTATTGCCAAATTAGCTATATCTTTGCAAAAATAATCATAATTTTAAAAATTATAGGACTAAATGTGAGGGGGCGTTATATTGTTAGTATAATTTCAAAAGGAATATCATCGTAACAAGGTATGTATTGCTGATATATACATGTTGTATACATGTAAAAAGTTATAGAAACCTAAATACGAGTTAGTATGAGCAACCAATTATATTAGTTCGGTGTCAAGAGACAACAGGTTAACGATAAAAGAACACGTTGCATCGGCCGGGAATCGAACCCGGGCCTCCCGCGTGGCAGGCGAGAATTCTACCACTGAACCACCGATGCTTGTTGACCTCGCTTATTGCATATTCATAAGTTGTGTTAGTCGAACATCTGCGAAATAATTATTGAATAACTGAGTAATTACTGTCATTAACCTTCAAATAATAGATGGCAATTTTGTTACCAAGGATGACTATAAGATATAATAGCGCCCTCTATCGACGGAGCTTTTTCAGTAACATCAAAATGACATGAACGGGTGAAGGCGGTTGTTAAAATTGATTTTATGTGGTCGTTCGTTGCGACTGAGAGTGGTCTACGAAGGAATAAATTTACATAGATAATGAACACAATCGAGGCAAAAGGCAAAAGGACCTACAGACCCACAAAATAATAGGGAGCTAACTGGTTGATAAGAATAACCCCCATTTGCATTGAATAATACGTTTACGAATAAATGAAGACACGGGAATGCAACTACTCACCATTTGACCGGTGACCTGGAATTTTGAGAGCCAAATTAGAGAAAATACCAATTCTCGGGAGCGGACATCTGGGCATTTTCACAAAAGCCGGAAACTCTCAGGAAACGGTATGTTTAGATAGTAATTGAAAACTCCCCTGGATAGTGTAACAAAGATTAACCCTGCATTTACAACATATATAAATTTGGTTGCCCAAAGATTATTTTGTGCCGTTTTCTCGACTTTAGCTACTAGTATTTTCACCGGCTCTTCGGCCGACGTTCCACAGCAGCTCGTGTCTAAGTAGCGTAGAACGTTCTGTGACGTAGCTTTGCCCCCGACAATTTCTGAAAAATAACGCCTTATTTCGGATTTCAAGGACTGAAAACAGGATGGCCGGTTGGTACTTGTTTGAACGATAAGTGCCATAACCAAGCGGTGAACGGTATTGCGAGTGCTCCTCCGGACTCGAGTTATTTACGTCATGAAAGCGCATATAGTCGCTTGAGGGCGCAAGAGAAGGCGTTTGTACCACAGATATCTTGAAGCGGTCAACCAATGAACGGTCTAGAATTTCTGTGGTTATATGCCGTATCATGATTATGGCAGATTATAGAAGATCAAAAAACTGAAAACCTAATACAACCGTATATGCAACAAATTGATTGCAAATTAACTTATGTGTTTTTACCACAGCAATCTACACTCTAAAATTCGCGACAGTATTGGTCTGTAAATCCACGGGACATGGCCCCGCCTGCACCCCCTCTGGATCCACCACTGGGGTTGTAGCCCGGAACAACCCTCCGGGTCTCGCGGTGTTAACTAGAAGATAAACGTAAATAAAAACGTACTGTACTACCAGATATAGTGGTGAAAACAGTGAGCGGGAGCCTGACTAGCACTACAAAAATCCCACGCTAAGCACTCATTGGCTAAATTAAAAACAAATTACTACAGGAGAAAATTATCACTGTTCTCTCTTACGTTCGTACAATTTAAAGTCAATAATAGTTAGCCGTGCTAGTTTTCTAACAGAGAGATTTCGAGATAAAATAGCGAATACATTGTCAGTAACATCTTGGCTTATCTTTTATCATTGCAGAAAACAAGCCAGCTGGGCTTATTTATTACTATTATTACCAGCTGTGACACGCTATAGCTGATTGGCTACTCGCGCTGTCAATCCAGTACAGTGCAAATAGCAATAACCATTTAGCTTAGATATTAAACTGGCAGTGGGTATATATTTTTAAACATTTATAATAACTATGTGCCCGTTTTCTTTACAGTGTTGGTGTATTATGTGAATGGAACCGTGTCACCTGCAGCTACACTGGAGCCTTGTCCCTCTGGCTGGATCGAACTTGGAGAGAAGTGTTATTTGATTGAATATCAAGACCAAAAAACTTGGGAAGAAGCGCGTGCCGCGTGTAGGTCAATGCCAGGCGCAGATCTCTTGGTGTATGACAACGAGGAAGAAAAACTGTAAGTCCAACACGTGTTTCAATCGCTAGGCGCCACGCCTTGGTGCTAAACTAGTACCATTACCCATTCAAATTTACGCAAACGGACGCGCACTTTCTATGGGATATCGTGAGCGTCCCGAAAAGTAAAATACTGTATGTTCATTGGTCGATTTCTGGGTCATAGTTTACAATGACTATGACATTATCATTTAACCAATCAAATATTATTTAAGTGACATACAGATTGTAGACGAGAAGTAAAATGGCTCAGACGTTTTCATTTTTGGTTCGATGCAAAATTACCACGACTGCATGGTCTAATCTGAGGCATATTTATTGCTATTAATTATTCATGATATTCAGTGACGTATTGATCCTAGGAGTGAGACACTTCCAAAAAGGGGAAAATGAATGTGCGCTTGCGCTAAGGATTACATACGTCAGGTCACGCTCGTTTATAGCTGTGTGCAACAGATCAGATCAAATGCTGCCTTTTTCATTGGTTGGCAGCTCACGGGTCATGCAAATCTTAGTATATTTATACCTCAAAAATACAGCTGTAGGGGCGCGGCAGAACAGACCAGTTAGGGTAATTTTGTGTCAACACGAACGATTCTAGAAAGCTGTTCTTAAAAGGACTTTCATATAAAACAATAAAATTGCCACAAATGGCCAGTCTAGCTTGATGACGTAAACAGATACTGACCTAGGCATATTACGTTCTTCAAATTTATTTTTTTGATGATGGAGTGTACTAAAAACTTTTAAATGCTGGAGTCGAAATAACATATAATGTCAAGTAAGTTTGTTAAAATTCAGCTTTTCCGAGGAGAGGCAAAGCAACCTCACTAGTATCTGTAAAAATAAACAACATAAGTATAATCTATATTCGTATAGGTTTTATCGATTAACCCAAGACAAAGATTAACTCATGCTTACAGCTTTCCACCATGAGAGACTTTATGACCGCCGAGATGTCGTTGAGAGCGAGAAATCCACGAGGTGTGCGAGAAATCTGCGAGATTTGCTTTCGTCCATCAAAAAGTGTTTTTATTCTCTCACATCATCGCGTCTACTGCTCCAAAATCATTGTTTCATAGATCAGTGGAACAATAGTCGCGATGACGTAAGAGAATGTAACCATATTTGTGGGTGAAAACAAGTCTAGCGAACACTGCTTTCAGCGAGAACTCGGTAGTCATTTACCTCAAAGGGTTATTCAATTTAAAGCGGGAGGGTCGTCACCTGCGCGCGCGGGGGAATTGAGTCCCAAGCGACGATAACAGCACACGCTAAAAACACAAAGGATCATGAGTAGAAGCATGTTTGTAAACAATGACACGCTTTGGCCATCTGACGCATGCGCGGGTGACGACTCCCCCGCTTTAAATGCAGATATTTAGAGGACTATTGAGTGACTTTAACACGAATAATTATTGATGACGTTCTCAAATCCAACGTGCACCCGTATATTTTACTGAGATACTCCATAATTTGTCCAGCCCCGGTACCAATCACAGTTTACACTTAACTATTTTACATTACAACTGTGTTTTCGTGCCATTACAGGTTCATCAACAGCGAGCTGGAAACTCTGACAGTTGACATGCATCTATGGATTGGAATGATAGCAGAAAGTTTATCATTTGGTGATTTGCGTTATCATTGGATCAACGATCAAGAGCATGAAGTGAATATGTCCAACTGGGAAGCTGGCCAGCCAGATAATGCATATGGTGGGTATATTCTCGCGTAATACGTCATTATTAAAAATGCCGCCCTTCAGCGTGGTAACGTGTACCAAATTGACCATGATAGTTGTTAAAGCGCGGTGGTCGTCGCGGAGCGCGTGTTCGATTTTCATGTAAATAAACAATGTATTTTACACGCGTTGCATACGTCGCTATGAGTCCCATATCGAACAGGACGCGACACGACGACTGCCACCCTTTAGTATTAGTACACGCATTGTGGGTCACACGTGATTACAATACAGTATGTCAGTCAATACTAAAACGTGTATTACATCACATGATCAAAACTGTTGACGTTCATACCCTCACATTCTTTGATCACGTGAGTATACTTTTTCTATCCGCGAAAATCGGAGAACTGACAATTCTAACCATGCTAAAGAACGACCACACGTTATCGACAATTGTAGCAGGTGTTTCCGTTAGAAGTACGACGGAATGTACATTATCGATTATAGTTGCGATGATTTAAACAAATACTGCGGAAGTTTAATGAATTAGTAAACATTAAGGAAATTAACAAAAAGGCGATCTTCTCGAAAGATTTCAGTGATGCACGCATGATAACTCAAGCAAAACAATTT